ATTTTATGCGCTGTTTGATTGAAATATGCAGCGAATTTAGTGATTGTAAAAGTCATTACGGACCTCCGCCCACTTCCAATTCCAAGTTCCATCACAATACAAATACATACTTTAGTAATAAAGTGTATGTGTGCAGCTAACCAGGGCAACGATCTTGTAGCCTTGTTTTGTTGCCTTCGACTTTAAGCAACCTCTTCTTTATGCATTCTAAACAATTTTCCACCACCCCTTTTTTTTTATCTTCTTGGTCTAGTACTAATTCTCTCTTTGTGTGCATGCCATCATTTCTGCCTATCTTTTTATCTCATCTGCCACACACTTTATTCCCCTTCTTGGTTCTTAATGGGATTATTCATATACCTTCCCATGCTATGCTAGCATATTGCTAAGCATGCATTGCCAAAAATGGCTATAGAGATACATTGATGACAATCGCACCACGCCATTTTTGACCCACTTTGATCATCATCAATGTCTTTGCATGTGTGTGATTGTTAACTAATTATAAAGGTTCGAAGACGGTGCGACATTATTTGAGCAATTAGGTGGGTGGGCACTCGAATCATTAAAAGTTTTGTGTGTCTATTGGACCAATTTTGTTCTTCTCCTTTTAGTTAATACAATCAATATTATTCACACAAATCTTAAGCTCCTATCCTATAATTTTAATTCGGACTTTGATACGGCGTTATTTGCATCCTCAATTGAAACCATCAGCCGCAACACAAAGGATACCATGTATTATCACTAATTCGGTTTATCTAATTGATGAAATGATCGACCGAGATCATCATAGATGTATCCTTTCTTTTGCTGTTGTGTATTTCAGTTCACGTTTGCTCCAATCGAGCCAATTACCATCCACATATACCATGCATTAAAGAGACATTCTATAACGTAAGGCTTCTGTAATGACATTTTACAGAAAAGACTCTCCTTAACGAACTCCCTTCGCGTCGGAGCTTTGGAGTATCATGAATTTCTTCATTAATATTGAGGAGGAGGTCCACAGAACCCCGGACATCACCGCTAGGATCAGCTTGTGGAAAAGGATCAAGCCGACGAACCCAGCTCAGTGGGCTTCAAGAGTGTTTCTCCACGCCTTCTGCTGGATGATTTGGCTCGAGAGAAATGCGAGAGTTTTCAAAGAGGTGGAAGCTCCCCCTCGTGTTGTGGCTTTCAGAATTGGGAGTGTCATTGTCCAATGGTTGAATGCAGCTAAGAAGGTGGACAAAACGATCTCAGAGTGTTGGCTTAATGCCTTGAAGCTAAGGCTGTTTCCCCCCAGGGGTTGAGCCTTTTGTGCTGCTCCTTTGCGGCTCTGCTGCTGCTTTTGTTTGGGTTCCACTCCTTGGAGCCCCTGCTGTTTTTGCTGATTTTGGCACCTTGTTTCTTGGCACCCCTGCTGCAGCAGGCTGCCTGTCTTTGTTGTTGGTTTTTGTTTCCTTTCCTTTTGTTTTTTTCTTGACGCCTCTGCCCCCCCCCATTTGTACTCGTGGCGTCTGTGTCTGCCGGGGGTGCTTAGCGTCTTGCTTTTTTGCGGTTTTGTTTTGTTCTTCTTCTTTTGTTTGTCTGTACTTTTTTTCCAACTTAATATATATCATCCTCATCAAAAAAAAAAAAAATATATTTTCTTCCTCGGCCGTTTAGCCATCCTACACTATAATTCCTGAGTATGTCTATTTCTTGTTCAATCACACTACACCATATTTTTGCATCGTATTTGCTACACAAATAATACAATGTTGAGACAGAACTCCAACAAACACAATACATAAGCATTATCATGCTGCATGCATACTCGAAAATAAAATTTCTCATAACCAAAGAGACATGATGAGACTTTTTAAGTTCCGATCAATTGTTGGACCTAAAAACTTGGTAGTGATGTTGAGCCCTCAGTTGTCGGCTAACTTTATATATAATGCGACCTCTTTTTCCATTACTTCTCGTGAAGTTCAGACAACTTAACGACTGATGATCTTCTGCACAAAAGAAGGCACCAATTATATGATTAAATTCGTGAGCAATCTCCTCCCGAGCAATAAAAGTTGAGAAAGAAAGACTGAAAGAGAGCACGCAGTGGAAGAGATTAGGCTTAGAATCTGACTTTGCTTGGCTTTACACCTTATCACAGCCTAATCTATGGTCATCTTGCCGGCCCCAACGTTCCCATTCTTTTCCCCCCTACTAGCTTTTCTAACCAATAAAAGACCAAAATGGTTAGGTTTATACACTTAACCTAACCTAGGATTGATCGTTTAGACCTACTGATTTTATATGATAATTTTAGTACATTTACAAGTTTTTATTCACCAATAATATATGTATGATTACAAATTATTTGTAAGGATTCCGTCCAGTCAATGTACCATGTTGAATGCAACTTATTATTTCCATCGTGAAAAGACATGAAAATGGAAAATGAAAATCGTTGTATACTTGTTTTCGCTCTTTGAGGCTGATAATCCTTATTGAAAATATAATATTTCATTCAGAAGAAAGATAATATTTCATGATATTAATTTACTTATTTTGTTTCAACATAGAAACATATCACCGTTTTTACGAGACTGAAGATTTACCTAAAATAAATAAGAAACTGTGATGTACAACTTATACACTGTTTAGTAACGTTTTGTTGTTGTGGTTGCTACACCAACATGATAAAAACTTGTTTAGTTGATAATTTTGAGAAATTATAGAAGTTGACAAGAAAAATCAAAAAAAGTATTTAGCTATTTGTTTAGGCCTTGTTTACTCTCAAATGTTGATACAAAGACAAAAGTAAGAATATAATAAGAGAAATAGTGTGGCATGACGAGTTATGGTAAAAAGATATGAAAATAATATTGCAATAAGGTGTCAGAGATGAGTTTTGCAAAAAAGGCGAGGGAAAATATAAAGAAAGTGGGTTTAGTGCGATTCGGCAGATAACATTATTCTCGGCTTTTGGCAACAACAAGGAAACTATTTAAAGTGATTTCATGAATTTCAGCTAATTTATGTTGTGTTGCCAACTTTTGTGACCATAATGGGAGAAGATATGGAGCTAACCTTATAAGGGGGTTAGCACCATAATAACTAGTATGTAAATCGTTCACTTTATTTTATATATAAGGGTTATAGGCATAATATGCCCCTCTACTATGCAGTTTTATCAAACATGCCCCTCTACAATTTTTACATCAAACACGCCCCTATACTTTGGAAAAATTATCAAACATATGCCCTTATGTTAAATTTTCCATTAAAAAAAATGTCAACCACGGTTGAACCGAGATTCACGCGTCCCAACATCAGAAAAATTGGGGTGAAATGTCAGTTTTTCCTCCTCATTTATTTCTCCAGGTCTCGTTAAAGTGAAATTATTAGAAGTAATTGGTTATACAAAAGAAACAAAACAATTCTAAAGTGAAATTATTATGAATATTTTAGACATAGGTGTCGCTCAAACCAAGGTTTGACCATGGTTGATGGTTTTTTTATGCAAATTTTAACAGAAGGGAATGTTTGATCATTTTTCTAAAGTATAGGGGCATGTTTGATGCAAAAAATAGTAGAGGGGCATGTTTGATAAAACTGCATAGTAAAGGGGCATATTATACCTATAACCCTATATATAATGGCTACGAATATAGAAAGGGCATAATAGGAATTTAATAGCCAAAGATTAAAAAGGCAAATTTTTTTTATTTTTTTTGTGAATGGGGTGGATTTTGTATGATTGTAATGGTCGATGGTTGCTATTCCTGATTTTGGGAATTCCTTTTTGATGACACTTCATTTATAGGGTTTATCAGTCTCATTCTTGATACATTTTTTCTTTTATCAATTCATCTTTAGTGATTTTGATTACATTTCACATGGAATTCATGACTATTTGATTATTGAGGTTGAGATAGATCTTGAGTATGTTTCTGTACTATTTAATGCCTTTATTATATTGTTTTGTATTTTTCGAAGTTATAAACCGCTCAAAATGAATATAAATCACCAAGGCATCTATCGAATCAGAAGGATGAGAATTTGCGTCCGTTGGCCACCATTTAAATATTTAATAAACTACCAGTAATTTATCTAATACAATCTTCAATAAAACTTATGAAAGTTAACAATTCTGGATGATTTGTCAAGAATAAAAAGCTAACCAACATGGGGAATATATAACAAGTGAAAGTGAGCAACTCTGCCCCAAAAGGAAGTAGAATGAAATTGGCTAGGGGAGGGGAACCCTGGGCCTCTGCATGGATCACCAGTAGTTGGGCTTTCATGCCTCCACAGAGCTTCGCTCCCACCCAAGGCTGTCAACGGGTTGACCAGGATTGTCTGGATCTGCTGAGAAAAATGGGGTCCACATATTCGGGATCACTTGAAATAATCAAACTCGCTTTAACCCGATCAAAACAGAACAAATTCAGTTGGTCGACCAACAACAACGGTTTTTGAGTTGGAGATCAAACGATATCGTTTTCCCCTTTGCTTTGTGAATTGCCCCTCTTTTCATGTTTTCCTTTCGTCTGCTATTTTGTATAATGTTATATGTTATTACTCCTGTATTATATAAATCTTGGCATTATTTACATATGAACAATATAATGATTTCCCTCCATATATTCGGGCTAAAGCCCCATTAATTCTCAATCTACTTGCTGAAACCGAGTTGACAACCTTGCTCCCACCCACCCATTAAACTTAAGTGGTCCACTATTACTACACTATATATAATCATGCTAACTGCAAAATTGAATTTCGCAACTTTTTGTGACACTTTGTGAGACAGTTAGAATAATTATATGAATTTGACATTTTTATGATTAACAATAAATTCAATCCAAATTAATATTATATATGATTTTAGTTTTATATTATAACGCATGAACAGTTACGAACCACTAAATCATATACCACCGGCTTTTTTAGTTCTGCTTCCAAGTTATGAATCCTAGTTATGAAAACAGAGGTTGCTTGTATCGTCGAAGTTCTCTTGCAGCAAATTTGTCAAAGAGGCTTATGTGATGTAAAAAAAAAAACAGTGGTACGAACTTCCAACCAGCTAGCTCCGGCATGTAGCTGATATATGACCAAATGAAACACAGTTTCTCCACACAACCCAACTATTTCATTCACCACTATTACTTCAAGGTACAAAAAAGCGACTCATGTTATGCAGTTTTATCAGTCCAACAAAGTTCCTATGCAACTCAATAGCGTTTTCCTATTATACAAACAGCTTGTGGAAAGGGCATCATCATTCGAATGTCTGCAATCTCACCGGACCGAGAAGGTACCGGCTTCTTTCTTCCTTCTTTTCTATGGCATTATGCACTACTACAAGAACTGTGGTCATGGGGGGGATCCCTCAAAACGTCATCATAACGGCTGAAGCTCTTGCTCAGGAACGATCCCACCTACTGGTTCATACGTACCTAAGGTTTGCTGTCTACGTCTCCACACCAGCCACACACCTAGACTCGATAACCCGATAACTACAGTGACCAATATCCCAATGGCCACCGCCACGAGATGTTGCTGCCACCATGACCTGACCAAAATCACCAGGTTACCCATTAGCATTAATAATGCGCCACACTAAAAATTAGAGGGGAGGAGGAATGTAAATGTGACATACAGCTTTCTTTGAGGTTCGACTTTCCATTTAACTAGCTGATAGTTCCCATATCTCTCAGGAAATTGCAACCGATGCTCCTTCAGCCGGAGAAGGATACTCTAAACAAACACAAACAGACTTTAGTTTCACTAAAATATCGCACAAGAGTGATTTCAGTTCGGCACAGTATGGAGCACAAAGTCTTGTGGTTAGGGTTTACCATTGCTGTGCTATTAGATATGTATTCTGTTGATGCAGCAGGATACAAGGCCCACTTCACCTGATACTCGTTTCCTTTCGGTGTGGCATTCAACATTTGCACCTGAGAATTAGCGAAATGTCTCAGTTCTATTCAATTACACTACTTGGATCAGTTTAAATTATGTAACACAGATTCGGGCCATAAAATTATCAATCACGAATAAAACAAATGACTTCCATAAGAGGAATGAATAGCACTATCGGATGAACATAGTTCAGAGGAACTTAAACCAAGGTGGGCAAGAGAGATAGTGGAATGATACCTGCAAGTTGTCAACTTCTAACTCATGAGCAATGACATCAGCCACTTCTGTGAGGTTGGGCTTTGTGGAGGTGTCATTGACCACAATCAGCATGTCAAATGTTATAATTGCAATTCTGACTTCACCTAGACGTTAGAGATCATGATGTCAAATTCTCAGACAAAATAAAAAATATTACGCAGACTAACAGATTGCAGTACAAAAATAGATTCAATAAATTACCCTGGAAATAGCCCCAAAAGTAAATCTACCTGGAATGTGTTTTGTAGGCAGCCCATTAGGCGGCTGTACAGGAGGCACGTTTTGACTCCTGTTACTAGAATTATTCATATGCACAGTGTTAGGTGCTGGAGCAGGAGCTCCAGGAACTTGCAGTCCCTTCCAAAGCTCAGAGCAATTAGTCTTCCAAAATCCTATCTTATCATTTTCTCGATCATATGTTACAAGAGTATTGCGAACTATGATTCCTGTAAGAGAAATGCAATGACAAGAGAGTTGTCATTTACCACATCCTTTCCAGGGCGAGAAGGGTCGAGACCCTAGAGAATAGAAACAAAGAGGAAACATATGTTTACTACCTCCTAAAAGAGTAGTTGGATCCTTTCCATTCTGGAAAATCCCAAAGCAATATGCACCACTGACTTTTGTGTGCTACATAAGTGGAACAAAGTCAGTAGTGGGAGGAAACCAGTGAGGTAGAACCAATCAAGTTAAAGCAACAAAAATAGGGTCACAAGATGCGTGGAAGTCGCTTAAGTCTTACCCGAAAGAGGTAGTTCTCTGGAGACAATGTCAATGATTGACCATTGCCGAACACCATGTCCACGGTTGGAAATATCTTTGACAATTCAGAGACCACCCTAGATAACATTTCAAGAAAACAACAGCTCAATATCAGGCTTAAGTCCCAACTCCCATCTAATGAACAGAAAGATGAAAGAAATCGAGTACAATATTCTTACAGTAATGGGCCATACCTTCCAGCGCCAGAAAAGCAAATGTCATTGTAGTTTGGATCAGGGCCATGGATCTGTCTGAGAACACTGATTTCCTTCATTATCTGCATTTAGACACCTCATAAGGAAAGAGGAACATAGCAATTTAGAATGCTCCTAGCTGTAGCTGGATCAGAAAGGTCATGCAAATCCTTGACCAATTGCAAACTGGTTATGAAATTATCTTTCACTTGAAACAGGCCTCAGATCTCAAGAAATTTCTCTGAAACGCAGAGGTTTAATGAGTAAAATGTTCAACACAAGCTGATACGCTATGCAACTTCTGCAGGAATCACAAGTGATAACTCATCAACTGCAGGAAGTCATAATTTCTGATATTTCATGAGTAGAAACTGTTCAATACATTCTGCCATTGAAAGCCATTATGAAAGTCGAAGTTTCAAAACTAACAACTACATGGAACCTAGAAACTGATACAGCATAAAATCTAAGCAGGAGTCATGGAACCCAGATGAATTGTAGCAACAAACTACTGACATGAACTTTTAGCTGCATAAAGTACAAAACCAAAATATCAACAGTTTGTGGATGGCAACTTGGCTATGAAGAAGAAGCAAAATACCAGTACAGACGCAAATGGTGCAAAGAAATTAAAAAAAAATAATCAAGCGACTCCGAGTATAAACTTGTAACTACTAAAGATATGTTCATGGACGGTAGAGAGTCGTACTTAAGGAAATAAGATCAATGGCACAATATGACCAAATACAGAAAAAGTTACAGAGAAGTTATGATTCCTTACAGAATCTTTAAGTGCAATGAATGCTTCTTCTGGAAGGTACGCATATGTAGTTCCACTGTCCAGAACTGTCCCATGCCGTCCATCAAAGACTTTAGGATTTATCTTCAATGGCTTCCCAGCCACTCGCAGACCCTTCAGCTCAATATTGTAATATGGACTGTTGCCATGGATTCAACTACAGTAAATGTGTGAGATGCACTAAAATCCTAATCCATGAAACAAATCAACTGCTTCCATGAATCTTAAGAAAGCATCTTACCTGCGATAAGGATCGGAATGTGTAAAAACCATATCAGATGGGGGAGAGATTCCACCAAGAACCATCGCACCACCACCAACATCCATCCCACCATAGCATAAGGAAAATGAGTCACTTATGACGCTCTTCTCAACAAGTTGATCCACAATACTAAGCCGACCACGACCCAAACCTATAATCCCATCTGCCCTCTGGCTGTACAGATCACCAGTTTCCATATTTTCACAACCAAACACAGCCCTCTGAGGGGCGAGCTGGCTTTCATTCCCAAAGGAAATGACATCTTCGGCAAGCACACCGCTGCTGGAACTCTGCTCGGCGTATCGCCTCTCGTAAGTGCACTGCTTCCCATCGTCATCACAATTACAACCAGGGTTGCACTTCAAAGCTTGATATGTGTTTGACAACTCTGGTTGGAACCTTGGATCCTGGAGTGGCAACAAAAAGTTGCTATCAACCTAATTTGATCCCCCACTAAAACTATCTAGAACTTCCCAGGAAGGATGGGAATAAGAACAAACCTGGTGCTTGCCACACTGTTCGCAGTTCGAGCAGGGAACATAAGTCACGGTGCTACCGGTATCCACAATAAGAGCGAATTCCTGCGGCGGCGATCCTATATACAGCCGAGTAGTGTAGTAACTGCAGACGAGAGGGAAATTGCAGGCTGAGAATCAGGAGGGAGATTGAATCGGAAGATTGGAAAAGTTGAGCAACAGCGAGAAAGAGTCGTCTACTAACCCATTAGTGAGGAGATCGTCATAGAGGCGCATTCGAGCATTCGGAAGGTCTGAATTCTGCAGATGCCGGCGGTTGAAATCGTCGTTGAAGGATCTCCGATGAGCGGATAGATTAGGGGTGGAGAGGTGGAGCGGGATTATCATCGGCCTCATCCGGGGAGTGTCGAGATCGGCGGCCGCTGAATCGACGGCCGCGGAATCGACGCCGTGGAAATCGAATATGATGAAGACGAAAGCGGCCAGGATAGGCCATGGATGAGCCATTAGGCGCAGCGGTGGAGTAAGTCCGGTCAACTGGCGAGGGTTTTTGAGACGGCGGAGGAAAGAATGCTTTTGCTCCGTCGTCTCCGACGGTAGAGAGGGGACAGAAATGGTTGGAAGGTGGTTGGATGCCGCGCTTGTACGTTTCGGAATTTTGTATCGGAAAAATGGTTGATAATGGTGAACCAATGCGGGACGGACGCGTAGTTAAAAGAGTCAAGTCAACGCAGGTAAGTTCAGATATGGAAAACGTAAAAAGGACTATGGGGTGAGAGAGGCTCGAACTCTCGACCTCAGGATCACTCAGAATTGCTATGAGACCTACGCGCTAACCAACTGCGCCACCACCGCTTGATGTTTTAAATTAAATACTTGATAGTTCAAACTTTTTAACTAAGTTCTCAAATCGATTTATACAATTGTGTCGTTTTAGCAAGTAAAGGAGGCGGTTAAGTGAGGCAGAATCTTCCATAGACGTAGGGCTGGCTATTTGGATCGGGACTGGATAAAAATCAGAAACCGAACCTAATAACCCGGACAGTTTAAGATCGGGACCGGATGTAAAACAATCCAATCCGTTTTTTGTCTTAGAATTAGCAAAAAAACCCAGACCAATCTAGTCCGGGTCAAAACCGTGTCAAAACCGGAAGATCGGATTAATAAATAACAGACCAGACCCAAAGACAAAGCCCATATATGCCCAGGCAAGCCCACTCTCACTCCCCCAGCGGCCCGAGCGAGCCCATTTGATCTTGGTCTCTACTCTGTAGGGTTGCATGCAGCGAGACTCCCTCTGACCCTCTCTCGGCCTCTCCATCGCTCGCAGCAAGCCCTAGCAACCATTTCTTTCTTCCCTCCCAACTGAGCCGTCGCCGCCATCCTGATCCAAAGCCTAAATCGGTCGTGACTGCGAGTGCGTCTCCGCTCCGCGATTGCGAGTGCGCCTCCGCGACCACCTCCGCTCCGATTCTCCTCCGCGAAGCAACGCTTGCCTCATCCCGATTCCCGACCCAGCGTATGCGAAGTCAGCCTCAGCAGTCCCCTCTGACCCAACAACGCGGCGAGTCGACGCCGGCCTCGGCTCTGACCCAGCAAAGCAACGCCGACCTCGGCTTTGTCCCAGCGATGCGACGCCGACCTCCACTCCAAGCCTCCGACCCAGAGAGGCAGCGATCGCGGCCAACAGAGTCTGCAGCTCGTCGCCATCTGTCCAGAGTCTGTAGCTCGTCGCCCTCCGTCCAATCTCGTCGCCCTCCGTCGATTATTGGGGAACAGCCGCCCAACTCAGAAAAATGGAGGGGAGCAGCAGCTAGGTAAGTAGTTTTAATTTATTAATGAGTAGTTTTAGTTAATTAGTGATGAATTGAATGGTGGAATGTGATGTACCAGGGTTGGATGAGTTTATTGTTGTTTAGTTTTTGCTTGTTCATCAATGAATTGAATTGTTTTGTGCAGGGTACTAAGAAACGAGTACTGGTGGCAAGAGAAGGTGATAATTTGCTGCTGAATTTTTGGCGACATGGTCAAAATGGGTCAAAATCGGATTGGGACCGGACCTGGTCAAAATCGAACTGTACCCAATCCAAGCTTTGGTCTCTGTATTTCCAAAAAGACCGGACTGGACCGGATCAATTTGGACCAATTTAATCGGACCGGACCGTATAGCCACCCCTACATGGACGGACCCAATAGATGCACAAATGAAACAAATATGAATTTTCTTCAAATTATTACTCTAAATATTGTTTAGGTTCAACTCAAAAAAATGAAAGTGCCGGTACTGTGCACACTCAGACTGAATGACTCTATGAAATTACGTCGATACTTCGACATATATATTAGGGGTAACGTAGGAGACATCTCTATTTTTTCACCAGGAAATCTTTCAAATTACCACTGCTTAGCTTTCAATTCGCCTCTAACCATCAAATGAAATGTGAATAACCTGTCCTCCTCTCTTTGAAACAAGGGGCGCTTCTGGTTTTTTTATGGATTGCGATTTCAAGTATGTTCCAATCGGACTTCTTATGTCAGGATATGGATCAAATAATAAATATTTCTTTTTAGGTGGTCTACGAGCTGCTGCTCAATCAGAATCTGAATAAGAATTCTAAGGGGTACGTTTAAAAATTTTATAGAAGGGGTCCTATTTTAGTTGGTTTTATTCAATTCAACGATTGACCAAAAGAAAATATTAATAAATAATAAATTACATAAACCTAGATCAACCAAAACCTTCTATTTCTATGCAATGATTCAGACTATTGAATTCGTACATTTAGATTGATTGGATCCAGGGGGTTCTTCGTAGTCGAGCTATCTACTTCAATCCATTTTTTTATTCCGAGATATAATCAAATTCTCATTTGTTTTTCCAATCTTTTAGTAAAAGGATTGAGCCGAATACAAAGATTCTAGTTCTAAGTTCAGTAGTTCCTCATAGAAAATTATTGACTCTAGAGATAGAGTAATATGGAGAAGACAAAATTGTTTCAAGCACCGACAGAACCTGAAGCGCCCCTTGTTTCAAAGAGAGGAGGACTGGGCCATGTCGCCAAATTAATACAAAAGAAAGGAAAGTATACCATTTGGGGTGGTACTCAAATTTGCATCTTACCCCCCATTTTAATTCTCTTAACCTTAATCCCCCTCCTAAAAAAAGGCTTTGAATCCATCTCTTCAATTACTTTTGTCTAGTATCTCAAAACATACATTAGCCTGCCAAGATGAATCGATGTCCTCTTTCTAATAGGAGTTAGCACCTTACCTTCTATCTATCCTCAGGGAAGGAGAAAAGGTTCTCTATTGATTCAAACGTTGTACCTATAGGAAGGATATCGAAAGAGGAAAAAATCAAAGATTTCACATAGTACTTTTGATCGAAAAATCAATCTGATTTCTTTCGTACCCTTCGCTCAATGAGAAAATGGGCCAGATTTATTTTTCATAAATTAACTCAATTTGCATGTTCGGGCCATCCATGATCGTGTGATTTCCTTTATTTTGCATGTTCTCGTGCAGGTTGAGACTCCAAATACTATACCATAATACTTTTGTAAATATATTTTATTAGACACCAACCTAAGATAATAATTTAAATAAAAAATCATTCGTCTCATTCACCGCCAAGAGATACCAATATGGAACAAGCCAATATTTTCTCCTCTCTCACAAACATCAACCTAATACAAATCTCCACGACCAAGGCCCCCACTCAAAGTTATCATTTTCAGAAACCATGCATTTCATAAATCATCGGAACCACTTCATGATTGACCAACCAGGTAACAATCCATCTAGTATTTGATCAAATTCAACTTGTTTCCAGAACATAGGACCAATGAGAACCATCAACAGAATGTAGGATCAAGGCAAAAGACATAAAAGCATTGGTTTAGATTCTTGATAATTTATCCATTTGAAATTAGTAATAAAAACCATTTAAGTTCAAACAAAAAAACACCAACTTTCAGTACCTACTCATTCATTCATCTTCCATTCAACTAATCAATCATCCAAACAAGTCATTCATCAATACTCTTGTGGCCTACTGCTTTTTTAGTACAATAGGATTGAAACCTTTATCATCATCTTTGCATTTACTCCTCAACCAAAACTATCAACATAAGCATATGGCCAATTGGCCACACGACAATATGGCATAAAAGGGTGGATCAAAAGGACAGTCTAGACCAACATTATTTAGATAAATCCAACAAACAGAACTATTTATTTCCTGAGACCACCACCAGAAACTCATGTTTGTATGTTTCCATAAGAAAACAAGGCAAAACAAACAGTACAATTATCACAAAAAGCTATACAGTTTGCCCGAAAAGAATACCTAGATTTGGTTCCTGTAATCATACACTTGGTTCAAAATGTTACTTTCTTTCTAACCGAGTTGCAGAGAACTATGGCAACCCTTTTTATCTCCTCCCCTCCTTACCATTTGCAGCCCTTTACCTCTATGATCTTCTTACTGACAAAATCAAAATCACTATACAACTACACTTACAGATATGCTGAAAACTCTAACAACAAAACCCACAGGAAAAAACAAAACAATACAACAATTTATGACACCTACAAGCTGCAGACAAATCATCCCATCAAAACAAACCAAACAACCCCCTCATTGCCCACTCTCTTCCATCTCCTCGTGTATTTGGTAAACTACATGTGTAGCCATTGTCTCTTCCCAAATCAAACAAGCACCTTCTTTCCATAAATGTTGCTTCGCATCATTGGAACGTTTCTCCTCACTAGCTCGACTAATGATGAATGCACCCGTGTCTGGCGTCTCACCTAAACAGATCAACATCACATCATTGATTAGTTTCATGTCAACACAATGGTAAGTAAGAATGAAAATGAAAAAGAAACATGATTTTCTGTGCATCTGAAAGTGGCTCTAACAGTAGTCAACGCACTTCTAATGATCTCACATGGTAGATAGCAAAGTGGAAGGTAAATTATGGGCAATCGATATTTAATATGTTAAAGGATGATACTTCGCAGGAAATTATATTGTAAGCAGAAGCTCTCCAGTGGTCGTCCACACTTGAGCTATCTCCAATGCAGTCTGGACAACGAAGATCCCACATGGATCGATGAGCATTACCGAATCCTTGGGACTACCAGGCATTTCCATCATAACTTGTGTAGATTTCCATTCTGTTGTCTCAGATAAACCCTTTTCTTCAACAACAACAAAAAAAAGATAAAAACTTTTCCACCACATTGCTACCATACTTGTTACAGGAGAGTTTCACAAAGTCACCTTGAAGCTGTTGAAGAAGAGCCGCATTGATTTTCCCCACCTTAAATCCCACTATGTTCTATACTACATAGTTTCTATTTAAGATAAGAATAATAACAACAATGCATCAGTATTTCTATCGGCAAATAACATAGATTGATAATCAATAATCAACAGTCATGATCATGTTCAATTGAAAACAAACCCATAGCAATCTTGTGACAATTGCAATGCATTCCCAATGATCTCGGACACGAGACGATCCTTGGTATCTCCCTGAGAGTATTCTACACAGACCTGGAGCACGCAACAACCACTTTTATCTGTAGCAATCTCTAAGCAGTTGTTTGCCGCCTCATTCAGAAGGTACTGCCACAATTAAACCAACATTAAATCAGTAAACCAAGCAGATCAAAAGAATTACCAAATCCCATTTTCCATTGTCATTTCACCTTGTTGTCTTCATGAGAGACTCTTCAAGCAATGTTGGATGACATGATGACCATTCAAGTCCTTGGTCAAAGCAACAACACCATGGCTAAAAGGATGCATTATTATAGAGACTTGTTGTGGAATTGTAACATGGTCCAACAACTTTTGTATAGCACAAGTCCTTCACCAAAGGCACTCCTGATTGTAGGGGTTGTTCTGAAGGTGATCACCAAAGGCAAAGCTGGCAGCGGCGGGGAGCGTGAGGGGAAGGGTATATCTGGGTTGATCAAGGTGGCGGAGATTTTTGACGGCTGAGTTGGTACCGGTGCCGTTAAAATTGGCAAAGGCGGAAGCAGGGTAAAACCCATCAGCGTCGATGAACATAGCGACGTCGTACGTCGACGGGAAGGGAAAAAGAAGAGGAGGAAATAAAGGGGAAGACAAAGGGTTTCTTGGAGAGGCGATGAGTGAAAGTGAGAATTAAGTAAAATTGGGTTTTAATTAGGATTTATAGCGAAAGAAAAGAATAAGGAGAGGAAGTTATGACTTCATGGAGAGAAAATCGGAGGAGAAGACTAAATGGGATTGGGACTCTTCCTCTCTCTCTCAATCTTTAATGAGTTTTGAACTAAAAAGGAAACTAAGAAACAAGAAGGAAGGAGAAAAGTAGAGATTGCAGAGGAAAATGAAAGCTTCAATGAAGTGGGGGTGAAGAAGAGGGGATGGTAAGGAAGGAAGTCAGAGGAGGAGAATGAATGAGAGAATTTTGATGAGAGAGAGAGAGAGAACTATAAAAGCATTTGCATGCAATTTTTGGTAATTTTTTTCATGCGAGGGAGTCACAGAGGAGCCTGGAGAGAGAAAGAAGAAGATTTAATTAATTGAATTTTGGGTTTTTTTTTTCTTTTTCTGTTTGGGTTGGGGAAGGAAGGAATAGCAGAAACAGAATGATTCCTCTGCTTGACTTAGAACTTTGAGTTTCACTTCACAGTCTTTAACACAAGAAAAAGAATCAGAAGAAGGATTAACTAATGCATCATCAGCCTGGGCACTTTGCAGCTCCAGTTCTTTAAGCTTCACTCTTTCTCTCAAATCAGAAAATTCTTCTTTATTCAATTCCTTGAGTAGCTTCTGTAGAACCCTTAGCTTTTTACAAACTCTAGATAAGGGAGATCCCTCAACCTCAGTTCTCCAAGCTTCTTTAACAAGGTCCAAAACTTCGGGTGTGAAGTCCAGAACTTGAAAATTTTGAATGGCTTAGGCAGGGATTTGATCTTACTGTCAGTATTGAGAAGAATGGGACAGTGATCAGAGACAAAAGCATCTAAGAGATCCACAACACTATTCTTCATTTCATCTAACCATTTCAAGTTAATGAATACTTTGTCCAGTCGCCTTGCAATAGGATTCCTTTTCTGCTTGTATCTTGTTATTCCATTTGAAATATCTTTGATAAATAAAAAAAAATAATTGTATCACATTGATGTTTTCCCAAATTTGATGAGGTTACTTGATAGGGTGAAGAGAACACTTCTCATAAGCTTGGTTACTCTCGTTAGAGACCTTGGAACACATTCACTGAATCAGATCAAGAGGCCACCCCACAAAGGTTAAAAGTTAGTAAATCTCAACCCTCATATGGACAAGGGTAAGATGCCCTCGATGAGCCTTATAGAAGGCTTCCTTTTAACGACCGCTTGGGTCTCCTCTTATACCTTGCTAGCTCAACATATTTAAGGATCTTTGATGCTCTTGGGTCCACCCCCATCGTAATGGCCACCAATGGCGAACGCAGTTTTGCCAAATGCTATAGACCATTACAATGGTAAGAAGAGGCCCTAAATAGTTAACCTTCTATCCATACTTCCTAGTTTGATTGATTAGACTACTGTCATGAAGTGAAAGCACATATTAGTTAATCATAATCCTAATTGCATGTGTTGAAAACTCGAATAGGATGGTCTTAGTGGAAGAGATAGGGTTACATAATAGAAGATGCATCAATGCTTATCATTAATGAGATTGTACGCATGATCATTTGGATGAAATTACCTAACAATGTATTTTATCTTGCTTTCTTATCGATTTATAATTTCATTTCTTGCATTAGATATTATTAGCGTTGACCAACTAATAACAAACCTCAACCCATAGTGTTTTACTTTTCTGCATTGTCCTTCGAATATAAGGTGTTGGGTTTGAGAAGTTGCTATAAAAGAATCGTGAAATATAACCTAGACATACATAGGAAATTATTACTCCGATTGTAGTACTACTATATATTGAACATCAACAACAACATCATCCTGGAAGACTATTTGCTAAACCTAACAGATGATGAAGTAAGCTCTATGGTGGTAAATCGGGTCACGAAATTGGGTGAGTGGAATGTGGAAAATCTACAAGGTTTCATCTAATAGTGATATCCTTTCTATGATTGTAGGGATGGAGAAGCCTAAGATAGAGTTAAGAGAGGACAAGATTGTAAGAAACACGGATCTAGGAGTGAACGTCTAGGGTTCGCGTATCGACGATCGGACTAGTAGAATTGGGAATTGAGGTAGGGATTAGGGATTGAAAGAGAATCTTGAGGAAGAAGAAGGAAATCGGTGTCCCAGGGAAGAGGAGGGCCGACAGCTACAAGGGAAGGAAGAGAGGGAGAATGAGGTTGGTAGAGGGAGAGAGAGAGAGATTTAGGGTTTAGAGAATAATTGTTTTGTTATTGCTTAATGAGAAATACACCACTAATACAAAATATATTGTCCAATAAATTTCATATAACTACCCAAAGTAATAGCTCTTAACCGCATATCCCCAAAATAATAGACTAATACCAAAATAATTATAAAACGACAAACAAGTACACAACAACAATCGAGTTAGAAACCATGTTTCTAATAATCCACCCTCCTTCTGACCAACCTTGCCCTAAATGTTGGTCCGTGTCCTTCTCTAGTTCATTGGCCTCTGCATTCGCGACCTCCTCTTCTTCATCCACCCAGTTACCCACGAGCAACATGAGATGCCCCTTGGCGCACTGGTGTCCCACGGTGTACCTCTCATCGCAGTTAAAGCATTGCCCTTCCCTGCTCTTTTTCTCCCTCTCTGCCGGAGTCAACTTCACAAATCCCTTAAGTGGTAAATGAGCCAAAATGCGACTGCCAGGTGCGACTCTATTGGCTACCGGGTTTGCATTTCTCAGTGCATTCTGTCCTCCAGTGGCTGCTGCAGCGGAGGCCCCCCTCCGGATCCGCCCGCGCCCCTCGAAAAGTACCCCACACTCCCCTTCCAGCTAGCAAGTTCCACCTCCTTATGACTTGCAAGCTTAAACGCAAGCCGCAAAGAATTAGGTTCAAACACGAACCGAGGCCGCTAGCTCCGACTTCAATCCTGCCATGCCCAACCCCACGAGGGTCTCTTCTGCCATCCCCCTGCACTGGTTCCCCAACTAGGTAAAAAGATGTTAGATGCGCCTTCTTCTCTTCCCTAGTGGGGTGGTTCCTGAACCACCTCTCTGCCGCATACAACCATAATCCCACATCGTCATGACCATCAAACTTAGGAAACTATATGAAAGGTGGTTTAACTCAAAATACCATGTTATCAGTCATACCATACAATGGTTGATGTCCCCCATACCTGTCCATTCCTGGGTGGAACTGACTCATGCCTCCCCCGTAACCTAGTTCCGCTCATACTGGAATGTCTGAGGAATGACCAGAGGTGGGTACCTTGGACTAAGAGGTCGATTGCATCCTCCCCATCCCCATGGTTAGCCTCCTATGTTGTTGCCGCCCCAGTTGGGTCATGATCGAGTCGATTCGAGTCGGTCCAGAGTGGACGGGTTTTGGTTTGTCCATCCCCGATTCATCTAGTTGGTTCAGGTCGGACCCATCTGGTCTAGTTCGGGTTAGAAACCCACCCCCGATTCGTGTCCGGTGGCCCTGGGTTCAGCCATGTGTCCTCTTGGCCCCCGAAGTTAAACTCCTGCTCTGTCCTTGCGCGATTGAACTCAAACAGGCCCGTTCCTCCGCCTTTGGAATCCCCGAACTTGGGCTCCCATTCATAGCCTGCAACCTTCCCTTTTCCGTGCGTCTGCTCCAGCCAATGTCGTTGCCACCCCCACGTCTGTTACGCTGTTGTCGCCGCCGTGAACCATTGTTCAAGCCAATCATTGTTCAAGAGACGTTTGGAACGACCACAAGGTATATATTATTTATCATCACTTGTAATTTATATTTTGTTAAAGTAATTTATTTATTTGTACAATAATTTACTTAATTGTTAATCGTATTGATTATTTTCAATAATTTAAATCAATACAATACAACACTTATTTAGACTCTTTATAAAGAAATGCATGTCTAAGGAAATGTGGACTTAAGTGATCATCATGATCCCCCCATGACCTGGGAAAATCGGGTTCTAAGCGATCCTCGGAACCCCCCTTTTTCTATCAAAAAGACTGTGTTTCTAAGGAGATGTATACCCCTCATAAGAGTCTTACGAGTGTACTTGTATTGCTTTAAATTATTGAAAATAATCAATACGATTAACAAAATAATATATTTGATTTTATCTGTATGTGTAAAAAAAATAATTGTACTTAAATTTCGAAAATTATTTTAGTTATGTTAAAATTAATGTTTATTAGATAGTGTATATTCCTCTAAAACAACCTTGATTTAATTAATAGGGTTAATATTTTCGTATGGCCTGGACTTTGACCAAAATAAACATCCTGGCCAATCTTTTCGATCTATAACATCCTGGCCCGACCTATACACCAAAATAAACAATTTGGCCAAACCCGATGTTTGACCGTTAACTTGGACGGTCAAACGCGTTGACTAACGGTCAACGCGCCACGTCACTGCCAAGTCAGCAAGTTTAAATTAAAAAAAATTCCACCTATTCTATTTTATTTCCTTTCTCATTTTGAAGAAGAAGAAAAAAAAAAAAGTTCCCCAAAACGCAGGACCCCTGACCTAACCCTACCTTATCCATATCGCTTCATCCCCATACACAGAATTCACCCGCCGTTCTCACCTTCTCCTTCCTTCATCGTCAAACCTCCTCACCTGACCGATTAAAATGCAGCGGCAGGCGTTCTTCTGAGCCCGCCGCCGCCACCGCCATCAATTACCACCCTTCTCCCTTCTACCTCGCGAAGATTTCCCCCCTCCTCCCTCGTGATTTCTGCTCCCTCGCGATTGCTGCTTCTCTCTGTGCATCG